ATTTTCCTCTGCATCGTATTCTTCATCAGTCAGATTAGACATAACTAATTTTAGGCTGTTCTCAAAACATACACGTCACAGCAGGGTTTCGAAAAAAATGTTTTAATAACCTAAAGTATAAATTCCTTAAAATCGGCACCATTTTATTATAAATAATATTTTTTCCGTTATTTAATTAATAAATATTTTTATCATTCGATATTAAAAATAATAACTCATATTTGAATTGTTTTGTATTCAATTTAATAGTTTTTATCCGCCATTATGTCGGATCCAGTTTTGCCAACTGAAAAATTATGTTGTTTTTTTTTTCCTACGTCTTCTACTACGTTTTCTGCTTTCATTGTAAATAAATTTGAAAATTTTAACGAATTTGTTGTAGAAAGTTATATTTTATTTTAAAGTTTTTATGTTAAAAATTTTTTTTTATTATAACTTATTGTATTTCGTTTAATTTATTATTTTTTATTCTTTCTATCGAATAATGTCTAATTACAAACGTGATTATTACAATGCTTGTAATTATTATTATCAGTTTTGTAATGATTACACATTATGAGTACTTTTAAAGCATAAATTATTTTATATTTTATATGGAAATTATATTTAAAATAAATAATTAAAAGATAATTTAATATGAAAAAGATTTACAACATTCATTTTAAAAATCCTATGTCTCAAAATTTACCAAAATATAACCAATGAGATTTAAAAACACAGACAAAAGTATTTAAATATTAAAAACCTGTAACCTGAAAACATTATTAATTATTATTAATTATTTTTTAAATATTTTAAAATATTATAAAAGTATATATATAATTCTTAAATAAATAATAAATAAAAATTATTAATCATAGAATTTAGAGGAAGAATGAATACATTTTAAAAATAATTTACTCTGAAAAAAAAAAAAAATATGTTGCAAATGTTCAAATACATCATTTTAAAAACAATTAAACAAAAACAAAGAAATGAAAATTAATCAACCGTAAAATTACAAAAAGTGAAAAAAAAATTTAATTATTAATTTACACCTGCATCATATGTAAAAATTTTTAATTACAATTTGTCAAGGTAATAATTAAAAAAATTTTTTTTAATTTCAAATAAACGAAAAATGGAATAAATTCAAAAGTAAAATTAATAAGAAAATAAATAAATTTAAAAAAAAAGGATAAAAAAATATGGATAATAAATATTTTTTTTAAAATAAAAATATATATATATATATAAAATTGATACGAGATTACCTGCAACAAGTAAACCGATATAAAAAAGTTAAAAAAAAAAAAAAAAAAAAATAACCGGGGGCTTCAGCGCAAATGAAAATTCCGCCGGAGCCGGCGCTCTGATTCTATGAACTTTTCACCAAAAATAATTTTTAAATGCACCCCAACTCGATAGATTCGCAGTTTTTTTATGTACCCGCATACACGTACAACATGATTATTATTATTATTATTTATATATAATTTATGTTTGCGCCGGAAATTTTTTTAAATTAATTATTTTTTTTTTTTAATTATTTAAAAAAAAAACGGGAAAATCGGTTAAAAATGTATTTAAAGTTATAAAAATTTTTTTTTAAAAAAAAAAAAAAATTCTTTTCGGGGTAAGTTATGTTCCAAAAAAAAAAAAAAAAGTTTTTTTTTTTTAATAATTTGTAAAATATGTTTATTACTATTTAT